ATTGACGTCAGCGGTACTCCATCAACATCAGAAACCCTTAATGAAAATAAAGCTTCATAACACCCAAAAAAATGGTCTCTCTTCCATGACACAGATTAGTCTGGGTGTAGGTTATTCCTGGAGCAGCACCATGGGGATCCAAAAGGGAATATTGTCAAAAGTAAGTATGTGCCAGCATCCCCCTCTCCCCCATCTGAGGCTTTCCCTAGTGAAGCTGGCTCACACTCAGAGGTCTGGTAGAAGCAGCCCCCAGAAACAGGTTTTGTCAGATTCTGAAGACTTATATACTGTTGAAAGCCCCAGGCAATTGCCTGTCATTATGACTCCATATCGAGATGCACTGATGATATTTTCTTCTTCTGGACAGATGATCTCAACTCCCTCATACATTTATAACACAACTTCAACCACTACCACTCATCCATGAAACTCTTTAGAATGCTCCTACACCAGTATCAACTTCTTGGATACCATAATCATCTTCAACTTATGGAAACCTACAAACAACTATATATAATAAAAATCCCCATGGATCACCATATTTATCTTCACACATCCAGTAACCACATCAGACATGCCAAGAAATCTGCTATCTACAGCTAAGCGTTCAGACCAAGGGCACTAGAACCTTTGTAGAAGTGGTGGGCCATGGGATCCCTTACCTTTTGTCCTACATTCCCAGCAATGCTATGACAGCCTGTCCCTGCCCTGCACCAGCAGCAGTGCACCCTGTTGCCCACCAGCCTGGAAGGGGTTTCTAGGAGCCAAGACCCTGGACCTCTCTGGGCCCCCACTTGCCTCACCCTTTGCTACGGTTGCCTCTGGGAATTGTAGTTCTCATTGTCCAGTATGGTGGCCAGTAACAGTCTGGAGGTGTTAGCTTGGGCAGGAGGAGATAAGATTTCATTCCAGCTGCAGGTGGGAAAAATAGAAGGGTAAAGAGATGAGCTCTGCAAAGATGTGGGCCAAGTCATCCCTTCCCCATTGTCCCCACTGGGGCTGGAAGCAAGCATCTCCTGTCCCTTTTCACCCATAAAGTGTCAGGCTGCTACTAACCACAAACTATGGCAGAAAGGGTCATGCCCTCCCATTCCAGCACCATGGATTCAGGGACCCCGGAATATGCTCCTAGGAGAAAATGCAGTATACATATGGTAACAAACTTAAAACCACTCTCACCAGAAATAAATCTCTACCAGGGAAATAGTTCGCCTCATGGAACTACCCTGACAGAACCTGCTTCAAATACAGAAGAACACCACTCACTGACTGATTGCCCCTAGTTGTCACCCACCATCTCTGAATGGAACCCATGTGGGGTATCATCAAACAACTACAACCCATACTTGATAGGGGCCACATACTGAAAGAACTCTTTCCAAAATCTTTCTTCTGGCCTTCAAACAACCCCCTAACCATATCAATCTCACCATCAGAAACAAGCTCCTTGCAGACCAGGACACACCTATTTAAAGTGGCACTAGCCTCTTCCATAGCAATAGGTGCAAAACCTGCAGACATATCTCACTTCTACAATGATCGACCCATCCCCCATGCCCCAAACCACTTTTCAAGATCCATGGAACCAGCACATGCTTATCACAACATGTGGCATATCTCATCCAGTGCATCAAATGGCCCAACAACAGCTATGTGGGTGAAACCAGACAATCACCACATTCTGCAGTGAACTCGCACAGGAAAATGATAAAAGACAAAAACACCCTATTACCTATGGGTGAACATTTTTCACCAAATTACCATTCCCTATCTGACTGGTCAGTCCAAATCCTCAAATGAAGCCTGCACAACATCTTCAAAAGATGTGCCTACGAGCTTAAATTCATAACTTTGCTAAACACTAAAAATCATGGACTCAGTAGTGACCATAGGTGCTGACTCCATGGGTGCTCCAGGGCTGGAGCATCCATGAAAAAATCAGTAGGCGCTAAGCACTCACTGGTGAGCCTCTCCTTCCCACTTAGTGCCTCCCACCAGCAGGCCCTGCTGATCAGATCGTCCCTATCCCTACCTTCCCCCAGTACCTCCCACATGCCACCATGGCAGCAGGCAGGAGGCACTGAGGGGGAGGAGCAGGAGGCAAGCCTAGGTGATACATGGCTCAAATGCCAGGAGTAGAAGGGACAGGAGCAGCCCCTTCCAGTCACTGAGACACTGCCCAGCAGCCCTGTGCTACTGCTGCCTGAGAGAACCTGATGAAGGAGGTGAATCGCACTCCCATCACCAACACCCAAGTATGGGGAGGGAGCAGAAGCTGCTACTCCCCCGACCAAGCTCTCTCAGACACCCGCCAGGCAGGGCTGCTGAGCAATGACCAGGAGGAGCCGGTGTTAAAAGCAGCTCCCTGCTGCTCCGCGCCTGAGGTCCTGCCCCCTAAGAAGAGCAGCAAAATGTGTCAAGGAGGAAGGGGTGTGACAGGAGGACAAAGCTCTCCACTCCTCCTGCAGGCACTACGGGGCGGGAAGAACACTGTAACCCCAGGGTTGGGCCACAGGGGAGGACACACATGACCTGCCCTATAGACCATGACTTCCCCACCAGTTGAACATGGGGTGCTCTCAGTGGAGGGGATGGAGCAGGGGTGGGAAGAGGTAGGTAGGAGTGGGGTATTGGGGGAAGTGATGGAGGTGGGTAGAGCCTAGGACAGAGAAGGAGGTAGAGCACCCCCTGGGAAATCTGAAAGTCAGGTCTTGTGGAAGCAACACTTGTAACCCAAAAAACTCTCCTTTATCCTGTGACTGCAGAGGAGTTAATTACTCACTTCATATTGAATCATCTCTTGCATTGTGTTCACAGAGCTCTGTGTTGCTCGACAGCTTCCCTCTTTCACCAGCAGAAGTTGGTCCAATAATAAACTTCAGCCACCTTGTCTCTCTCATATTTGGAGACTAACATGGTTAAAAAAGACTACAAACATTATTTATAGAAAACCGTTACAGATGAAGACAACACCCAATTTTGTATTTAGGGCATAGCAGCTTCCTGTCCATATACACAATTGGTAATTAGCGCAAGAACAATGTATTTCTCTATGTTCCAACTTAAGCAAATAGGAAAGCCATTTATCTATTCAACTTCAACTCACTGCCACCACCAGATCTGCATGTTAACTGTTTAAATGAATCCAGCTCATTGCTTGGTACATTTGAATAAAGACAAAATTTTCTGAACCTGATTAAATTGGGAGAATGTGCAATAAAAATGCAGTGGAGCGCATGGTCATAGTGAGGCATTCAGATGACGTATATATACTAGTACATGGTAAGTGTGGGATGATGGCATCACCCAGAGATGCAAAAATGCACCCAACAGTGCATGGCTGTGTCTAGACTGGCAAGTTTTTCCGGAAAATCAGCCGCTTTTCTGGAAAAACTTGCCCGCTGTCTACACTGGCCGCTTGAATTTCCAGAAAAGCACTAACGATCTCATGTAAGATCATCAGTGATTTTCCAGAAATACTATGCTGCTCCCGTTCGGGCAAAAGTCTTTTTCTGAAAGACTTTTGTGCAAAAGGGCCAGTGTAGACAGCACAGTACTGTTTTCTGCAAAAAAGCCCTGATCACGAAAATGGCGATTGGGGATTTTTTGCGGAAAAGCGCATCTAGATTGGCCACGGACGCTTTTCCGCAAAAAGTGCTTTTCCGGAAAAGCGTCCTGCCAATCTAGACGTGCTTTTCCGAAAATGCTTTTAACGGAAAACTTTTCCATTAAAAGCATTTCCGGAAAATCATGCCAGTGTAGATGTAGCCCATGGGTTAAGTGAGATGTCCACAAACTTCAGGCCGAGTAACATGACACAAGGCTTGGTGTTACAGTGTCACATACAGTATATATGGTAGGCCTTTTAAAATCATGTCAGGAAACAGGCCCAAATGACTATACATTTTAAGGCCCTGCTCCTGTCAGCAGATCTGTGCAGGTACACGTCTACACCTGCATGGAGCCTGCTGAGGGATGCCAGGGAGGAGCCCTGATGGAGTCACTGTAGCCCTGTAGCGATGTGCCTGCGTAGATTGGCTTGCAGACTCAACTCACAGGCAAGCACAGTGAGACAGAAGGAACACAATGTGAGTTTTTATATTAATATAATTTAATCCCTGCCCTCACCCATTCTTTTACTCCCCCTCCCGTCCCATTATATGATGTTGTGAATTTGGTGCAGGGGCAAGCAGGGATATGTGCCTCCCATAACTGCAGCCACCAGCCCCCTGCCCCAGGGTACCCCAGCTCGGGAGTGTCCCCAGCCCTCCCAGCCCCTGAGTGCTGGGCAAGCAGTGTGGCCTCAGAGCCAATGCACAGAAGAAGACAAGAGTTGCTGAGTGGGAAGTAGGGGGAGAGGTCTAGAAGGCAGAGCATGGGTAGGATCATGCCTGGCTGTTTGGGGAGACTCGGCCTCCCCTTGCCTACTCAGCCTCCCCATGCAAGACACTACAAAAGAGTTGCACTAGCAGATTGTCTTTATGAGTTTGACCCATGAGTTGGCATCCATTCTCTCTTCCCCCCTCCCTGCCCCCTACATCACCACCGCTGCCAGGGGAAATGGGAAGCAATGAGGGAATGAGAGCTGTTGGGGTTACTGGCTACAGTCACTGCAGGCATTGGCAAGGGTTTGGGAAACATAGCTCACTATTCTCATGCCACACAAACTGCAAGTGGAGGATGAATATGTAGGGAGAGAATGGGGATGCTGACAGCAAAGCAAGGGACCAAAATAAAGCAGAAGGAGAGAGAGACTGAGAAAGGGCAGAACTGGAATAAGGGCACATGGAGGGTTTGAAGTTGGTGCTGGTGAGAGGAGTTGATTTTGAAGGACTCTGCTTAGTCTCCATTTCAGAATCATTTGGAGACCTGAAAAAATATTGTTCACTGTTTTCCTACAGAACAATCCTTCTTTGACCATGAAATGGAGATTTGTCTTTCCAGCAAGGTTCAAAACAGCCACTGAGATACTAATGAGGGTTCTTTCTCCTGCCTTTCAGCTCACAACCCCAAATTTCCCTGTCGTAGTCAAGCTGGGACATGCTCATGCTGGAATGGGGAAGGTAAGGAAAAGCCATTTTACATCCCTATATACAGACATGTAAACTTACAGATATCTATTGTGTACTTTCACTATGGCTACATAACCTGCAACCAGCTAGGTAGGGGAAGGGCTAAATAACCTGCACCCAGCTAGTTAGGGAAAGGGTTAAGTTAAAGGGATTCTGCCACAGCTAATCCAAGGTGCATTCACTGCCAGTGTGGAAGGAAGTGGCCTTCAGCTGTGGCTCATTAAGAGGCAAGCATATATAGGGTATGTATGTGCCGGTGCTGTTGGTTTGGGGGTTGTTAAGGGTGGAGTTTGCTGGTTGGAGAAGGAGCCAACAGGCTGTTCATTTTTGTGCTTTCTGAAAAGAAAAAAAAATATCATTCTTTATTAAACACCTGCAAAGTGCTGCTAGTCAGTGCATCAGGGAGCTTGCAATCTCCCACTGTCTCCATACAAATGAGGGAGCAGGAGCACTGATTTTCTTGACCCTGTTATTGTTATTTGACTCTATCAAATGGAAGCCCTTTAGTTATTTTCTCTCCCCACTAAAGGGAACCAGAGCAGTTTAACTGGGCCTTGGCCTAGTTTCCTGCCAAGAGGAATCCTAAAAAACTCTTTCCTGTTACCCAAAAGAACTTGTTTGTTTTTCCCAGGCTCTCTGGGATGCTTCAGCAAATTAGCAACTTCTGTTCTGAGGGAGGGAAAGGTGGCACAACCCTTTTAGACAAACACACTCACAATGCATGTTGTATCTTTCAGAGTCACTCGCTCCCTCAGTTTGTCACATTTACGATTATATCAAGGCATCCTATGTATGTCCAGAATATAATTTGTTCAGAGTTAAGGGTGCTACTATCTCCTGTTTTTTGTTTGGGTTCCTATAAAAGCTGAAGAAGAATTATTAGAAATATCCTAGTGTAAATTTTTCACTAGAACAAACAAGCCTTTTTTTTTCTCTTAGTATCATCTTTTTGGCTGAACAAAAACCTGTATAACTCAGAGGCACTGAGAAAGGGAGAGTGAAGTCTGTTCAACAGCCTTAGCAAAGCACCAGCTATCTTTTTGCTCATGCAGTAGAGATTAATGGCTTTAGCCCCTAAAATTCCAGGTTCAATCCCTCCTGCTGATTGAGTACAGCTTGTAGGCCTGGGCCCAGGGAAACAAAATTCTCTAAATTCCTGTCTTTCAAATAGAAACTCGTTATCATTTTCCAGTGGCCCAAGTGCTCTGTCTGTGGTTGCCTAAAAGGAAGCTGACTGTAGTCCCAAGGCAACTGCTAGAGTGAAGTCGATCATCAAAGAACATGTATTTAAATAAAGAGGAAAACTAAATTAAATTAGTTTAGATTTGTGTTTTAAACCAATTTAGCTGTTAGTCTGTACCATACTCTAATGCAATAACAAGCATAATGTACCCACTGAGTGTGGACTTGTGAACTTTTTGGCCAGGGAAATCCAATTGGAACAAACCAAAAGATAGACGTGCATGTTACTTTTCACCTAAGCAAATGTTTCCAGCACCCTTGGGAAGGGTGATCTCAGATAAACTGCACCGGGACTTCCCTCATTGCTGTTCTGTCACATCTGTTAAGTTGGCCTTAAATGAGTCACACTTAGAAGCTGCCTTGTGAGTTCACATGGATGACATGCCCCGGAATACTGCTGAATTCCCAGCAGTAATATAAGAGGTTTACCAAATAACACATCAGTGCAGAACCATATGCAATAGCACAAAGGGGTTACATAAAAATTAGTTACAAATGGAGAGAGTCTCTGTAGAGACAGGATGATAGGAATACCCCAAAGCTATGGGACTGTTCAGAGCCCAGGATTTAGATTAGTCCATTATGAAGTTAGAGACTACTTGCAACTGATTTTCAGTACCACCCAAGTTGAGGCATTTGAACCTTGAATTTTGTTTTGGGCCCTCATCCAGCTCAAAGCAAGCTGAAGGAAAATTCAAATTCATTTAAACAGACCTACTAAAGTCAGAGAATTCCAGAACCAAAGAAAAGGAAGAAACAATAGAAACCTAGCACATTCAAACGGCAGGAGCTTTGACCAAAAAGATGCCCTTTAAAATTATGGTAATACAGCCCAGGTGAGGCTGCCTGAAAGGAATTACAGAAATGGAGATTAACAGAGCTAAGGAGACAGTTGAAGAACTTGTTATAATAATCAAACATTTTTATAAGCAACTCAGAAGTGGGGTGCTTATAGGAGAGTTAGTGGGTCATTTTGACCACCATAGTGTAAAAGAAGAAATTAGAGACAACCAGGAGATTGCAGGGAGCTAAATTATTCCTCTGCCTTGGTTTTTACCACAGAAGAGGATGCAGCAAGATAACACCCTGTGAGGATGTTGCTTAGCAGTGAAATGTAGGCACTATCGGAGATAGCATTTTGTTTTTGTTTCAAAAGAGGTTTGTGAGCCGCTCAATTAATTTTCAGTAAATCACCTGATGGCTGGTATTTGTGCAAAAGTGCTGAAGAAACTAAAGGCCAAAATATTAAACTACTGGCAAATGTATATATTTCCATAGTCCCTGGACACCCATCAGGAATACGAACGACCTTGTTCAGCTTGTATCAAAAACACTTACTAAAGTAGAAGACTTGAGTGTACCCACATGTTTAACAGGTGCTAACTGTGTTCTTTCTCAATAAGAAAAATAATTAAGAAAATCATTAGTTTGAAAAGTGCTAACATGTCATTAATAAAGGAAAGCACTGTGTTATAAAGAAATGAGCAAAGGGACAAGAGTCAGTTAATCCAGCTTTGTTGCTTTTGTATTTATATTGCAGTATGAGGTAGGAGCCTTAATTATTGACTTTGGCCCATTCTGCTAGCTCCTGTACAAACAGAGAACAAAAAGACAGTCCCTGCCCCCAGAGGTTTCAGCCACCGGTTCACAATGTGGCTTTGAGCAAGTCATTTTGCTTCTCTTCTTCAATGTCTCCATCTGTTAAAAACAACAACAACAAACCCTGGGAATAACAATACTTACCAGTCACTGATGTTATCGGGGTTACTTGGTTAGTATTTCTAAATCCCATAAAGTTCTGTATAAATTCTAAATGTTTATTATTTTATTATAAACACTGGCATGAGGATTATATAATAAACAGTCCTTCACATTTGTGTGTCCTTCATTTTCACGAGCCCTAAATTCACTCACAATATTTGTAAGCAAGGCCAAGAAATTATCCCTAAAACAGAAAATAAAACATAACTAAAACAGGACATGGGAGGAATCAGGAATCAGCTCTGTTGGCATCTCTGACACTCAAGGAGTAGCCATCAGCATTTATGATCAAAACCAAAAACTAAAAGTTTTTCCGTTAAAAGCATTTGGTTTATGATCAAAACCAAAAACTTCATAAGCTCAGTGGTAGCAAGAATTGTCAAGAGCTAATACACAGGCTGCGTCTAGATTGGCATGATTTTTCGCAAATGCTTTTAACGGAAAAGTTTTTCTGTTAAAAGCATTTGTGGAAAAGAGCATCTAGATTGGCACGGACGCTTTTGCGCAAAAGCACTTTTTGCGGAAAAGCATCCGTGCCAATCTAGACGCGGTTTTGCACAAGAAAGCCCCGATCGCCATTTTCGCCATCGGGGCTTTTTTGCGCAAAACGGTTCTCAGCTGTCTACACTGGCCCTCTTGTGCAAAAGCATTTGTGCAAGAGGGTTTTTTCCCGAATGGGAGAGTCATTGTATTTGCGGAAGAACACTGACAATCTTACATTAGATCGTCAGTGTTCTTGCGCAAATTCAAAGTGGCCAGTGTAGACAGCTGGCAAGTTTTTCCGCAAAAGCAGAAAAACTTGCCAGTCTAGACGCAGCGTGTGTGTAATGTCAGAGTGGAAAGGAAGAACTGTAATAAAACCTCATTTGGAATTTCCATTAACAAATCCAAGAACAAGAGATTCCAAAATGGCTCTCACAGGGAAGAAGAGCATTCTTCAATAAGACACCGGAGCCACAGTCAAACCCACATCTACACTACAGATCCGCACATACACCCATTGCCATAATTGCCTTGTGTTCCTCTCCAGAAAAGGAGACCACCACCTTAACCTCATGAGCAGCTGCCTACTCACTGTGTTCAGCTGTCACACTAAGTTTGCACCAACTGGTTCCATGCACTGCTAGGCTTGCCAGATGCTTTCACCAAAAATCCCCAACATGGCCAAAAAAAAAAAAAAACCAGGAGACCAAACTTGATGAGCATCTGTGTTTTTTACCGGACAGGGATCAGAAAAAACGGACTGTCCGGGCGAAAATTGGACACTTGGCAACCCTATGCACTGCTTGTGCAACTGCTGTGTCAAAAGTATTGAATATCTAAGGTGTTCCATTGAATTGTTGTAGAGGAACCTTTTCAGTGTTCCTTTTAGGTGGGCAAAGGATCAACAATAACAGAGGACTCTTCCAAACATCCATGGATGGACTCTCCTTACAGGAGATGTCTTCCCAAGAACAGAAATAAGCCAGTGAGCACTCAGTTACAAATGGAGACATCTGCCAATTCAGGGTATGATGCTGTCTGAGCCAATTGCCACCCTGGCTTGATATGGGCAAATATCACTCTTGAGAAGCACGGGAGGGTGTGAAGAGATTTTCTTTCTTTCTTTCTTTCTTTCTCTCTCCAGATGACACTGTCCCTGAGCCTACTGGAAATAAGCACTAAGTGTGTGAATATCTCCCAGCTGTCTAGTAGCATAACCCTGAAATGCCCCGGGAATAGAGCTCAGTACTGCAAATTCACTCAGAAAGCCTCTTTGCATCTCCCCGAGCAGACCATGGGAAGGAGACAAGTGCCAAATTTATCTATACAGAAGAGAAACAGCACATATTTATGCAACATTCATATACATACCTCTCTAATTAGACCAGTTTAAGAGACACTTCAGATCCAAGTCAGCCCCATAATTATGAAAACATCCTCCCAATACTGATCACAGCTCAGATGAATATATTGCATTGCAGAAGAAAAGCTTGTTGTTCATAATA